GAACCTTAAGATAGTTTAATTTGGTACGTCGTTTATTCAGTTGTTTATGTTATGAGTTTGTTTGTGTTTTACCAAATGGTATCGCTTTATATTATGTGTTCTGTTTTTAGTTTCACCTCAAGATCCAATTTATTTGTCTCGTTTATCAGAATCATACCTTGGATTATAAAGACCAAAAAATAATAAAAAATTTATGTTATGCAAACACTACAACTTCATGTGTGTATAAAACCATAAGGATTAATTTGTTCAATAACCCAAAAAAATTAATAATTAGGCGAGTAACTAAAATGATACCAATTACCCTAAGCAAAAATATCACCAAAAATGACATTTGTTCTAAGATAAGTTAAATAATACGTAACCCTTACACTTCTAAAGATGTCGCTTTGGCCGAGTGGTTAAGGCGTGTGCCTGCTAAGTACATGGGGTTTCCCCGCGAGAGTTCGAATCTCTCAGGCGACGACTTCAATTTTTTTTAATTCAAAACTTTCCCGCCTTTTTTCAAACCCAACGATCCTAGCTTGTTTTTTTTCCTTGTAGCAAACAGTGATGGATTTGTTTTTCAGATTCTTTTGAAAACTTAAACGATCCCTAATTATACATTTTTATAAAGCATTGTACTACAACAATAACAAAAAAATATGAGCATCGCTACTCTAATAACTACACCATTCCTAAACTGAATAGTCAAACTATGGTTTCCCGCCTTTTTTTTTGCATATAAACTACCGAACATAGCAGTTTCTCACTCAGTAGTAATAGCCTGTCTTAAAGTCAGCTGAATCTTTACAGAGCATATACCGAATCTCCATCATCGATCTCGGTACCTCCAAATTCTCTTCCTTTACCGAATTCCCGAGCAAGCTTTGCATTTGAGTCACAAATATCTCATCTAAAACCTGCAAATTCACCATAAAAGAGACATTTGTTTTGTTTACCAGTCACCAAAAGAAAGTTAAGTTACTTACAGAAACTGCGATTCTCGGGCCTTTGTGCCAAGTTACATTCTCATTCCTGTCTTCCAAAAGCCGAAGCACATCCTTCGAAAAAGAATAAGAATAGTCAAGGTTAATGATGAGTCATGACACAGCAAAAAGAACAAGTTTGTGATGTGGTTTACTTCCTAACCTGTCCCATTCTGTCCCAGATTCCTCTACATATTAAGACAAACACTTCGAGTAACAAAACACAATGCAGGTGCTCGATAGTCTTGTCTAGTAAATCTTTCAAACTCTGCATTCTGTTTCTAACATCTGATTCTGCTGTTTTTTCCCTTAGGTCGTGGATGATGTTCTTAATCCTCATGTGACTTTGAATTCTCATCTGTCACATAAGATAGATAAATAGATTCTTCTAAAGGATCTGAGAAACACAAGACATAAATGGGACTCAGAAACAAAAATCAGAAAGGAGTTACCGACATTGTCGGCAAGTTTCTCCACGAGCGCTTGCGTGTAACTTCTGAATTTGGATCTTAACAGCACAGTCACTTCGCTCAGCCGCTCTCCCAAAACTCTGCTTTCTTTATCAGGGAAATAAGAGTTCCACACTTTGAACCGGTTCTCTATACTTGACCGTAATTTGTCAAGCACTTTTTTCATCGAATTTAGAAGAACTCCAAGCTGAAACATGTTTTTAAGGAATTTATCTCACAATAATTCAAAGGAAAACATGTAAATTTATAAGAACAGTGAGCATACCTCTTTTGGAACAGAATAGAGGTTAGATGTGCCTGTCTTGGTCAATCTTTGAACGTATTTCAGGGGAAATATCTTGCTTTCCTTTAACGGAGATAGAACTTCGGAAAATTGCTTCTCCAACGCTTCAATTAATGCCCTCTCCGCATCCGCTATAACCTTTTCCATAGAGCAAAAGCAATACACTTATAAGTTAGCCTTTTGAGGCATGAAATTATGTTCCTAGTTCATCCGCAATGTAAGAAGGAGAGACATCATCAAGCCGAACGCAACTGCTTTTGATGATCTATGTGATTCTAAATTGAAAGAATCGACCACATTTTGTTTTGTTTTGTAACTTACCTTCTCCAAGGATGCTGCATATTCTGGCCAACGCTTGATGATGATATCAAAATCATCAAGTGTTGCGTTGAGTAACTCATACATATCATCGACAAAAGGAGAGGTCAGGCCTTGAATCTCACTACATGCTTTTGCCTGATTACAATCAAATTATTTTCAATTGCATTCTAGTGTTAGAACTACAGACTGATAGAGAACTTGTAGCGAGACTAGTACCATCTCAGTCTTGCAGAATTCATATAGAGAATTTCTTTTCTCTTCGATCCAAGTAGTAATATATGAATGGAAAAGCTCTTTGGCATTTACACCACGTTTGATCGGACTGCCAACACAACAATAAAAGTGTGTATCAGTAATATGAAAGTAGGATATATTTAAAGTCTAACTCAGTGAAAAGCAAAAGCAAATATTACTTTGAATTCCAACGAGAGAGATCGGCTTCAAAGTCAGCAGTCGTAATGATAAGGTCGACAACTGGAGGCGATGGAGAAAGAGGAGGCCAAGCGATAAGATATTCCTTTAGTCTGTTGAATAGATCCATACTATATATTGCTGCCGAAAGATTTGGAAGGTCTATAAAGCTGTTTTGGAGTTCACAGAGAGAATCAATAGAGAGATTACACCAAATTAGTAATATAAATGTAACATATATGAAAACTTAGACAAACCTTGGGAGCACATTGCAGTTATGAATGGCTATATCAGTTGAGATTTCGTTCTTAAAACTCAAAATTAAGAACTTCATCTCCTGGTCAGGAGTGACTTGTGCACCCTCTATATGATTGTGACGTACGTCGTTTGTTTCCAGTAAGTATCTTATTGACCTTTTTCTTGAAGCAGCCTGAAACGCAATGGAATGTAAGATGGGAAAAATGAGAGAGAGATTGTGTGTGTGTGTCTGTTTTTGATACCTGAAAGTATTTGCAAAGTCTTAGTTGTGCCTCGGGGCTTAACACGTCATTAAGAAGACCATAAAGCTTGATAGCTGGTGCTATAGCGGGTGCCAGAGTGCCGGTAGGAGGCTCGAAAACATCTTTGATTCCAGAAAAACAATATTCATCAAGAGATTTATAATTCTCGAACGTCGAAGCAAGAATCTGCTGAACTTGTTCATCAATTTCCCGAAGCAAGCGATTCTGTAGAATGCACCAAAATGAAAAGTGAGCTACTTGAATAGTGAAACATGATCTACACGAGAAAATAACATACCTCTTGATGACTCAATATAGCCTTATATTTTTCTTTCACTATAACAGGGTAGAGAAAATCATATATCAGATCAAGGCAGTCCTCGGTAGGTGAGGCGACATCCATGACATATGAAAGATATCTGCAAATCGGCGAAAAAGTCTCACATTATATCAACTTTATTGCATGAAACTTTTTGGTATATTTTGTTGCTAAATTACCTTAATTTTGTATATCCATCCGAAATCCCGTAATAAGATGCAAATTGTGTTACCATCCAGTGCCATGGCCCTTTAATCAACAATTTCCGGCGCTGAAATCGCTCGGCTTTCATAGCCACTTCCAAGACCAAATCATATGCTGAAGTTTCTGCAACCAATCCACACTAAACAGAAACTGAAAATGTCAGTTTACAGTTCGAGACGGTTAAAAGAAGCTTCAAATGTGGAAAAGATCATGTACCTTAGTTTTTTCATCTAAGCTGCTTGAGTAGTTTATATGAAGTTGTATTCTCCCAATACGTTCATGCTCTGGTTCATGATATATTGCCCACCATTTAAGCTTCTGGTTCTGCTACAACAACCAATACTTCAGATTTTAAGCCAAAGATCTTGTAGCCACAACATAAGGCTTAACAAGTATCTCACCGGTTCATCAACTATAGCCGCTAGTTGAGCTAAGACACGACCACAAAACTGCCCCTTTGAATCCCGAACTTCGACGATCAGATCATCACCAATATTATCCGGTAAGCTACAAAGGAAACCACATTTAGCTCCAGCTATGTAGGAAAAAGGAATATAAAGGAAAACCATGAATGTACAAAGGAAACGTACAATACAAATGTTTCGCCAGATTCAGGTTGTGTTTTGATATGATCCTCCTCGGCAGAGCTCTTTAGCCTCAATGAACATGAAAACTTTTCTGACAAGTGACAMWMARAGWKTCGTWATTAGAACATTCAGAARGATGAAACAGTAATGACACAAGTAAAATGCAACCAAATATACCTTGTAATGCTTTTACAGAACGTGGTCCAGTGTGAGATGTAACAATTTCTTTTTTCAGGACTTTGGAGACCTGTTTAAGGTAGCGAGCACATGCGCGCAAATACGCCAAACTTTTCCGCGAAAGTGAACCATTCAAAGGAACTTGAGGAGCAACATGAATTCTCTTTACTGCTTTCCATCCAGAAAACAAAGTAGCATTCAGCTCCGCGATTTGCCGATTAACAATTTCAGGCTTCAGTGATGAAATATTGCAACCAGGTAGTGGATCTGATCCCATTTTGATCCTACCAACTGTAAAACTACATACTTTAGACTTCTTTTCCAACAAATCTCATATAGATCATATGCGGAAATGAAAAATGAGAGCGAAACTATACCTTCGAGTTCAATTTTTCCAACACTTCTCTTGAATTTTGGAGCAGTTGTCTCGGTAACCAAGATACAAGGTCTATTAGCCAGTAGTTCTTCTTCAGACTGAAGGAAGAAGTTCTGCAAACTAGATGTTTCATTCTTAACATTAAACAACAGGACAAAGCGCAAAGATCACACAACAAATCCAAATACGAAAACATGTCTCACCCAAATGCATTTCGCATTAAAACACAATCGTTGTTGAGAAAGTATGAAGCCTGACTGACACAATCTGTTTCCCATGAACGGATACATAACCGTACACAGGCTTCATAGCAAATCATTGCAGACCATGGACCTTGTTCACTACATATAATTAAAAAAAAAAATGGAAGTGAGTGATTTCTAAGTTGTAGCGGATAAGAGTCGCAAAGATAAGTCAGCTATGTATCATGTATGTAACTCACTCACCTTGCGTGGAATGCGGGAAAACAGGAAGGCAATGCCTCGTTCTGTACCCTTCCCGAAGTTCCAACCTCGGCATTTCCTCTATTTGGTCCTGAGCTACGTATAGATTGAATTTCACATTTGTTATCGTTCTGCAGATTATCGTTCTTTGCTTCCTGTAAACCGATGAAATCAGTTTACAACAGCTTGGAGATGATAAACGAAACAGAATCATAATCAATGTGAGACCAGAAAGAGAGAGAGAGTACAAATGAAGTTTCACTCCTCGATGTTGAGTCAGCCAAATCATCTACACAATGAACCTTTGAACCAACAGGAGTTTTGTAATCCAGAGACGAGTATGCCTCATCATCATCATCCATCGAATCAGAAGCAGGTTCATTCGAAACACGCTTACAATACTTTCCTCTTGAAGCACCATCCTATTCACATCTTATAACTCATCATCACTAGACAGCAACAGAATTCAGAACACACACTATAAACACAATTTAGCTATTCATACCTCTCTTCGGAAACCTTTCTTGAACATTATTCTTCAGCTTCAACCAATCCTTTGAAATTAAAAAAAAAGAAAAAAATCCAATAGATTATTGTTAGAAAGTTCAAAGATATACAAATAACAAACCAGATCATTTCAATTGAACATTCATCTATCAATCCAAGAGCATTATATTCCCATAAACGTATACATCAGAAAACTCTATACCTCGAATCTGCATATGGACGAATAAATTGACAGAGATACATTCAACAAAAATTTGGAGAAACAAATGTGTACGACGACAAAAGCAAAGAGAAGACAGATCACTTCTTCG